GAACAATATTGACAAAGGATTTGAAACTATTTTGATGTTAAGGAACATTGGAAATTGTGTTTCATTTTTTTTCTACAAAAACTGTTTCAGTAATGTCATACAAGACACAATACAGCATTGAGGGCGGAAAAGCTGCTACACATTTCATCCCAGTTTCTGTGTACTCTTCACAAATATACCTCTTGCGAGTGCGAATGCATCCCCGCACACATGTTCACTCACTCACTCACTCACATCCTCTCTTTCACACCCAGGGACGGTGGGGTAGGCTAGTGGTTAAAGCTTTCACTCGTCACGCTGAAGACCCGGGTTCAATTCCCGACATGGGTACAATGGGTGAAGCCCATTTTTGGTGTCCCCTGCCGTGATAATGCTGGAATATTGCTAAAAGCGGCATAAAACCCAACTCACTCACTCACTCTTTCACACCCCTACTCTCACTCATTTAGACACCAGAATATTGTGGAAGCCACGGTGGCCGAGTGGGTTAGATTGCTGACTTTGTGTGCTGGCGACTAGATGCCTGACTCTGAAAATGAGGGGTTGAATCCCGGATGTTACCAAGAATCTGTAACATTTGTTACATTTGACAACTTTCTAAATGCCATTGTGTATTCAAACCAGGAATATGGACTGGAGACACTTTGGTGCTGCCAAATGTACGGGACTAGGGGGGCCTAGTGATTAGTGCTGTGCAGAGTTATCTACCTTGCAAGCAAGATCTGCCACCCAGTTCAGTCCCCTGAATACAGTTCAAGTTTGTTCACAACCATGTGCAAGTTTTACGACTCGTCAATTGCGGGTTTCCTTCACTTTGACCTGACCGACTGTGGCGTGACAGAACACTACCAATATTCAGTGTGAGGGTAATCCACTGGTCAGAAGGGTGTCCCACTGATCTGCCGGGGTTGACATCATGTCAGTACTTGTTGTGGAAGGTTGATGCCATGACCCAAATCTCATTGTCTTAGTCTTTCTCCCTCACCCACTTGCAGACACGACAGGTCCTCATTCTGTGGGAAAATCATACAGCATTCATTCACACATGTGTTATGCATTAGCAACAGAGAATATAGAGATGTTTTCAGGATGTGCTGCCAGAGGAGCCTACAGCTAAGCCATGTTGTGAAAAAAAAACTATGGAAATCAATGAATATATACTAGGAAGTACAGTATGGAACAGAATTAACTTCCTCACTGTGAATGGGCCCTGTGCCATGGAGGGCAATCCCACAGTTATACCATAGTAGCTTTTTATATACTTGTCGTTTTGATAAAAGCATTTTTTACACATCAGATATTGTTATCACCAAATATATTAATGTTTTTCAACTTGAGGGGCACCTTTAACGCTTCAGTCAGTCCTGTAGGTGCAGATGTAAACTTGCTAAGACCCAATCCCCTATAAAGCCTCAGCACATATGATTCAGTAGAAGATTCAAACTTGCTCCCAATGCCAATACACTTTACAGCCCCTGTTGGACCATCTTGTTTGCTCGGTGGCAGATTGAAAGATGATGGCACACCCAACTGACTAGAGTCTAGGGCTTCTTTAAAGCTGTGATTGTTCTGCTGGCATGACTGTTGCCTCAGTGTGAGACAGGATGAATATAGAGTCATCAATAACAATTTCTCAACTTTCCTGAAATTATGGAGATAATGATGGCTTTCTGTCACCTTGGTTCCCAGGCTGTTGTTCTCCTTGTTCACTAGCTATTGTACCCCAGCTTCACAGGTTATTGTACTCAAGGTTTACAGGCTAATTGTGTCCCTGGTTCACTGGCTATTGTACCCCAGCTTCACAGGTTATTGTACTCAAGGTTTACAGGCTAATTGTGTCCCTGGTTCACTGGCTATTGTACCCCAGCTTCACAGGTTATTGTACTCAAGGTTTACAGGCTATTTGTGTCCCTGGTTCACTGGCTATTGTACCCCAGCTTCACAGGTTATTGTACTCAAGGTTTACAGGCTATTTGTGTCCCTGGTTCACTGGCTATTGTACCCCAGCTTCACAGGTTATTGTACTCAAGGTTTACAGGCTAATTGTGTCCCTTGTTCACTAGCTATTGTACCCCAGCTTCACAGGTTATTGTACTCAAGGTTTACAGGCTAATTGTGTCCCTGGTTCACTGACTACTGTACCCCAGCTTCACAGGTTATTGTACTCAAGGTTTACAGGCTAATTGTGTCCCTGGTTCACTGGCTATTGTACCCCAGCTTCACAGGTTATTGTACTCAAGGTTTTCAGGCTAATTGTGTCCCTGGTTCACTGGCTATTGTACCCCAGGTTTACAGGCTATTGTCCCAGGGTTTCAGTGGCCATTATACCTCAGGTTTACAGGCTATTGTCCCAGGGTTTCACTGCCTATTGTACCCCAGGTTTGCAGGCTATTGTCCAAGGATTTCACTGGCCATTGTACCTCAGGTTTACAGGCTATTGTGCCCCAGGTTTACAGGCTATTGTGTCCAAGGTTTACAGGCTATTGTGCCCAAGGTTTACAGTTTATTGTACCCCAGGTTTACAGGCTATTGTGCCCAAGGTTTACAGGCTATTGTGTCCAAGGTTTACAGGCTATTGTGCCCAAGGTTTACAGTTTATTGTACCCCAGGTTTACAGGCTATTGTGCCCAAGGTTTACAGGCTATTGTGCCCAAGGTTTACAGGCTATTGTGTCCCTGGTTCACTAGCTATTGTACCCCAGGTTTACAGGCTATTGTGCCCAAAGTGTACAGGCTATTGTGCCCCAGGTTTACAGTCTATTGTACCCAAGGTTTACAGTTTATTGTGCCCAAGGTTTACAGTTTATTGTGCCCCTGGTTCACTGGCCATTGTACCTTAGGTTTACAGGCTATTGTCCCAGGGTTTTACTGACTATTGTACCCAAGGTTTACAGGCTATTGTCCAAGGATTTCACTGGCCATTGTACCCCAGGTTTACATGCTATTGTGCCCAAGGTTTACAGTTTATTGTACCCCAGGTTTACAGGCTATTGTGCCCAAGGTTTACAGGCTATTGTGCCCAAGGTTTACAGGCTATTGTGCCCAAGGTTTACAGGCTATATTGTCCCGGGTTCACTAGCTATTGTACCCCAGGTTTACAGGCTATTGTGCCCCTGGTTCACTAGCTATTGTACCCCAGGTTTACAGGCTATTGTGCCCAAGGTTTACAGGCTATATTGTCCCAGGTTCACTAGCTATTGTACCCCAGGTTTACAGGCTATTGTGCCCAAGGTTTACAGGCTATTGTGCCCAAGGTTTACAGGCTATTGTACCCCAGGTTTACAGGCTATTGTGCCCAAGGTTTACAGGCTATTGTGCCCAAGGTTTACAGGCTATTGTGCCCCTGGTTCACTAGCTATTGTACCCCAGGTTTACAGGCTATTGTGCCCAAGGTTTACAGGCTATTGTGCCCAAAGTGTACAGGCTATTGTGCCCCAGGTTTACAGTCTGTTGTACCCAAGGTTTACAGTTTATTGTGCCCAAGGTTTACAGTTTATTGTGCCCCTGGTTCACTGGCCATTGTACCTTAGGTTTACAGGCTATTGTCCCAGGGTTTCACTGACTATTGTACCCCAGGTTTACAGGCTATTGTCCAAGGATTTCACTGGCCATTGTACCTCAGGTTTACATGCTATTGTGCCCAAGGTTTACAGTTTATTGTACCCCAGGTTTACAGGCTATTGTGCCCAAGGTTTACAGGCTATTGTGCCCAAGGTTTACAGGCTATATTGTCCCAGGTTCACTAGCTATTGTACCCCAGGTTTACAGGCTTTTGTGCCCCTGGTTCACTAGCTATTGTACCCCAGGTTTACAGGCTATTGTGCCCAAGGTTTACAGGCTATTGTGCCCAAGGTTTACAGGCTATATTGTCCCAGGTTCACTAGCTATTGTACCCCAGGTTTACAGGCTATTGTGCCCAAGGTTTACAGGCTATTGTGCCCAAGGTTTACAGGCTATTGTACCCCAGGTTTACAGGCTATTGTGCCCAAGGTTTACAGGCTATTGTACCCCAGGTTTACAGTTTATTGTGCCCCTGGTTCACTAGCTATTGTACCCCAGTTTATTGTGCCCCTGGTTCACTAGGTTTACAGGTTATTGGCTATTGTACCCCAGGTCTACAGGCTATTGTACCCCAGGTTCACTAGCTATTGTACCCCTGCTATTGTACCCCAGGTTTACAGGCTATTGTACCCCAGGTTTACAGGTTATTGTACCCCAGGTTTACAGGTTATTGTACCCCAGGTTTACAGGCTATTGTACCCCAGGTCTACAGGCTATTGTACCCCAGGTTTACAGGTTATTGTACCCCAGGTTTACAGGTTATTGTACCCCAGGTTTACAGGCTATTGTACCCCAGGTTTACAGGCTATTGTACCCCAGGTTTACAGGCTATTGTACCCCAGGTTTACAGGCTATTGTACCCCAGGTTTACAGGTTATTGTACCCCAGGTTTACAGGCTATTGTACCCCAGGTTTACAGGTTATTGTCCCAGGATTTACAGGCTATTCTATCCCAGGTTCACAGGCTATTGGGCCACAGGTATATATATAGGCTATTCCCTTGTGAGAATAAGCCCTGATAATCTGTATTTGACTAATGTGGTTCAAATAATTTTGTATATTTTTCTGATGAATGGATCCTGTCCCAAGACTCTGTGGACCATGACACACAAAGAGATCATTAATATTTATGTGCTTTTGAATTTGTGCATAGTTATAACCACCATAACACGTCTCGGCATCCTTGAAAGCCCGGGTATCATGGTACCGTCATGTCGTGATAGTCATCCTGGACCCATGATGTTGGTATCTTGTGATTTATAGGTTAATGAAGCAGTAGCACTTATAGTTTACTGTTATTTTGTGTTGCTTTCACTGTTGTTAAACAATTTTAAGATCCCCTTACCGTATATATTTGGCTGCATGAAAAAATATGGACAGAGGATTTGAAACTGTATTGATGTTAAGGAACATTGAAAATTGTGTTTCAGTTTTTTCTACCAAAACTGTTTGTTTCAGTAATGTCATACAAGACACAATACAGCATTGAGGATGGAAAAGCTGCTACACATTTCATCCTAGTTTCTGTGTACTCTTCACAAACATACCTCTTGCGAGTGCGAATGCATCCCCGCACACATGTTCACTCACTCACTCACATCCTCTCTTTCACACCCAGGGACGGTGGTGTAGCGTAGTGGTTAAAGCTTTCACTCGTCACGCTGAAGACCCGACATGGGTACAACGTGTGAAGCCCATTTCTGGTGCCACACACACACACACACACACACACAAAAAAAATCTTGCTGGAATATGCAGCAACCTAAACCATTCACTGAGGCTTCCACTAAAATGGAATTCCGGCAACTGGTAGTCTAGATCACATGCTTTGTGTACCCCACCGATAAGTGTAAATTGGCATGACTTCCATAGCCAAAGCTATGAATACACAATGGCTTTCAGGAAGCAGTCAGATGTAACATATGGTATGTCTGAGATGACACCCACCAAGGAAGGTAATGGCCATTTACACGTATCTGAGATCCCTGACTCTGTGCTGATGACAAGGTATCTCACTTGGAGAGTGTGTGTTCAAATCCCGGATGGGACATTATCCTGAACTGTACAAGAAATTGTACTTCCTGATAATGTGTATTCCCAAACATAACATATGTTACATTGTATAATTATTGTTATAAGATTCAAACACATTCCATTTGAACCCAGTCCACAGTTGTTTTTTTGATAGTCTTTTGTACTTATTATGTTTGACCATTTTCTAAAAGGCATTCACATGCTTGACCCATTCTCCACTTTAAGTCCTCTTTAAATATGCAATGTTAAAAAAATACAATTCAAATTTATAACTGGTACTCACTGGCTAGATGCTACTGGGACTTCCCGTATTTAGGCCCACGTGAAATTTAGCCCATGGGCTAAAATATGGGATTTTTTTTCCGTATTTAAGCCCATGGGCTTAAATTTGGATTTAATTCTTGGGTGTTTAGAGTGACGCCCCTTTCCAAACGCACAGTGAATCTCGACGTTTTTAACATTAGTAGAGCCTCTGCGAGGTTATCACGTTTACAGACCATTTTGGACACCAGTTACAGGGCAGTTATTAGTGACAGAAATTGATCATCTTAACCCCTGTGATGTGCTTGCAGTTGCAGTTAAACTGAACCATGTGGTCTTTCAATTTTGAATTTATAGACCAGTTTCCTGATAAAAGAGTTTTAAAAAAAACGATTCTTTTTATTTTATCAACATATTACGCATTTTCGAATTTAAGCCCTGGGCTTAAATATGGTTAAAATATTTCATCACTAGAGCAGTGATTTTCCATATTTAAGCCCGAGGCTTAAATACGGGAATTCCCGGTACCTAGTTCCTACTGCTGATAGCAGCTATTGATGCTACGGATTGAGAGAGTGACCTGACTTCCTAAATGGAGCTGTAAAAGTTACGGCAAATTGGCCAGTAATATTTATTGAAATAACATGGACATGTATAACACACTAGAACACAAGATGAAGTGTCAAGGTCCAGAGACAAGTGCTTTTATCATCCTGCACTGTCTCCCATAGGAAATATCACTAAGTTGAAATCAAGACAATGAAATTGCATCACAGACAATTCCGATGTTATTGGTTGTCCTGACATCACAATTACATGACATCACTGTATTCTCTGCTGCTGCAGCTAGTTAGCTGCACTATTTACACCAGACATTGGTTACTGTGTGAAGAACGATTTTTGATGATTACTGGAATTTCAACATCCTGCAAGCTAAAATATTTAAATTTATTGATAAAAGTAAGCCATTGGATGTTTGTAGCTTTTATCAGATAGCCGTGATATGTTGGGTCTTTTGAGACACTTGAATTAACAAATCTCTATACATTAGATATTTGACATTAAGAGCTATTGTCAAGGAGAGTGACATTCTGATAGCTTGTAAATACTATTGTCAAGGCTCAAATCAAAAGCCATGGTTTCTGTAGTAGCCAATCAAATATAGGTAAAAGGGGTCATGCTTCCAGCATTTGCATACAGTCCAGTGAACAAGTTCTTTCAGTGCCCACTTGGTATCAATGCACAGAATGGTTATGTTGTCTAAGACAGAGCTGACTCTGAACTTGTACCAATAATACAAAGTCCGCAGAGTGCTTTAGATATACTCCTGTCTACCTTGGTTATAACTGTCCAGTACTCGAGTCTGTGCTTGGCCTGCGTGTACAGACCATCAGTGGAAGTACTTCAGATTTACTCAAGTTGACCTCAGATATAATTGTGCCATGATGGTCCTGCCTATACAAACCACTACAGGATTGACTTCAGATTTACTAAAGTTGACCGGCGTTATATTTGTCCAACAATATTTTGATTACTCTATGCTTTAAACATAATTGCTCATTTTGAGGTCAGGTAGAAGGATCTCTCTGAGGTGTCAACCTGGGACCTTATTCTCGAAACCTTCGTAGCCCTAAGAATTCTTAACTTTGATCGTAGCCAATGTGTTAAGAATGGGCTTAAGAAATTCGTAGGGCTACGAACGTTTCGAGAATAGCTAGCCTGGACACTCACTGACATTGCCATTTGGTCGGTTTCCATGGCAACAGACAGAGGATCTACTTGAAATATACTTGCCAACTTTAAGCTTAGTTGCAAAGATCTCTCTGAGGTGTTCCACCTGGACACTCACTGACATTGCCATTTGGTCGGTTTCCATGGCAACAGACACAGGATCTACTTGAAATATACTTGCCAACATTGAGCTTAGTTGCAAAGAACTCTCTTAGGTGTCCCACCTGGACACTTGCTGACATTGCCATTTGGTCAGTTTCCATGGCAACAGACAGAGGATCTACTTCAGATATAATTGCTCACTTTGAGCTTAGTTGCCAGGATCTACGTGAGTTGTCCCACCTGGACACTAGCCAATATTACCGCTGTTTGTTGTTGACGGACAGGTGCTCCCCGGTCGCGGATGTCTTGTCCACGTCTTCTGTTTATTTTTTCCCCACATGATCAGGTTCACACCATTAGGTGTCATCCATCATTTAAAATGTATAGGAAAAAGGTGTTGAGTGATATGACGAACCGGCAGGTGGGATGTGTTGATGAGGTCGAGCATAACGTTCTGCAAGGACTGCCAATCAGGGGGGAAATTTCATGTCGAGGGGACAAATTGTCTCATTACTATTTCCCAACATGCCGTACATTGTTGCAGGTCTGCCAAAAGTGTTCGATTATGTCAGATTTAGTAGCATCAACTGGGATTCCTAGGTCACCTGACCAATAAATTGGTATTCAATATTCACGACAGACTGAACGAAGTTATCCAGTTTCCTCATTTCGCTCATCTTCTCAAACCCATCGAAGTTTGCTTCATTTTTGAGGCAATTATAGCGCACATGTTATGGAGATATGACCTTTCAAGTCCTCAGAATCATTGTCCCCCCCACCAGCATAATTTGACACACGTTTTAAAAATTTCAAGTTACAAAGAATTTAAAAACTCGCATGGTGTGGGATATTACTGAACATTATAACATGTTTAGGAGCTAATGCTTAATAGTGTGCAGGGAATAATCCTCTCAAGTCTCCTACAACGATGAAAAATCCATCATAGTAATTGGTCTACCTCTTAGCTCCCTTTAAGGGGAAATTCAAGTCTGTTTTTCATAATTAGTGCAGTGATTTTCTGTGGCCGACATTTTCAGATGTCAATATGACAAGCTGCTGTTATTTTAGGGAGTAATATATCATTCTTATGTTACAAAATTAGGAATAAGGATAAATTTCCTTGCATCAAATTTCACAGCATCAACACCAGCAAGTCTGAAAACATGGTGTATGTCGCCATTGTGAAAGTTATAAGTTACTTTTCGTTGCAGTCCTGAATGATATGTCATGACTGATGGATGACATTGTGATATTTCCCTGAAACTGGTCATCATTATGTGGTGAAACAACAGGAATCAGCGTAGTTTCTATGAATTTTGATCAAACTTTATTAAGGAAATCAAAGTTGTTATGAAGAATTTAAATAAAATTTCTTCAGGGAAAATCAAAGTTATTTTGATGAATTTTGATCAAACCGAAAGAAAATTTAAGTTGTGTTTCAATTAGTTTTTATCCAACTTCATCAATGCATCATAGTTGTTTCATTGAAATTTGATCAAATTTGATCAGAAAAATCAAAGTTGTTTTGATGAATTTTGATGATAGAATGATAAAATGAACTCTTATCCTCCCGTGTATAGAATCGAAAGGGTTATGCTATTTTTATTTTTGATTATATTTTCAAATTTTGATAGAAAACCAAGTTGAAGATGTATTCATTTGCTGTCGAAAGAAAAGGGATTTTTTTGTGTTCAAGTCCCATTTTGCAAGATTTTTCATACAATCATATTTTGACAAAAGACCATAAGTTTTGCACCGACCTTGATTTGTTTAAGCATGACTGACTGACTACAGTAATTTAAAAGAATTGAGTGTTCCTTAACTTCTTTGAGTGGTATACAAAGGAAGAACTCACTCACTCACTCACTCACTCACTCACTCACTCACTCACTCACTCACTCACTCACTCACTCACTCACTCACTCACCACTGTTGTTTACATGGGATTTGGATGTGGGTTCACGATACACAGGGTCAATGTGACCAACATGAAGTTTTGTGGAGCAGACTGTCCTGCCGACGGAAGATTTCACTAAGAGATGAATGTGTCCAATAATTGTGATTGGGTAAAATACCAGCCGATTAACAAACTACATTCCATGCCAAGCCTGCTTCTACACGGAGACGTCGTTACCTGGAGTTATTGCCTCATGCTCGGAATACCTGTTGTATTTGCTGTGTCTGGAACTAAGTACTGGTTAGTCAGCTGGACGGGTTATTAGTTTTACAAGATATGCTTAGCATCACCCCACCTGGGATTGATTTGTTAAATAAACATTACAGTTACATGGTAATACAGCAGTAATATAGTAATATCACAACATGGAAAAAGGTAATATGGAAATATAGTAGCATTGTAATATAGAATCATGGTAATACTGTAACATTGTAATGTAGTAATATGGTAATATTGTAACATTGTAATATAGTGATTGTTAAATAGCAGTATATTTATAATAAGTGTAGTAACAGTGTAATATAGCAACATGGTAGTATTGTAACATTGTAATGTATTAACATGATAATATAGCAGCATATTGGTATAGTAACATTGTAATATAGTAACATGGTAGTATTGTAAAAAATTTAATGTAGTAACATGGTAATATAGCAGCAT